ATTAAATTTTTTTAATTAAAAAAAATTTACATTAGAATATAATTCTTTAGAAAATATTGGAAGCATTTCAAATTCACAGCATTGGACATAAAGTCTTTTTAAAAAAAAATTAAATTTATTTTTTTAAATTATTTAAATTTTACGGTTGTGAATTTCCATAGCTTTTATCAAATCCTCCTACCCACGAAGTATTTGAATTACAAGATTTGTGAATAGCCCTTTCATCACAATCCTGTTAAAAAGTAAAATGAAAGGGAGGACAAGAATATACCCGTAGAGGAGTCCATTAGAGAGGGAGGTGGATTATAAAGGTGTCTATTATACAGAGTTTTGATTTTTTAAGATGAGTAGAGTGAGTGGATTCCATTAGAGCGGGATCAGATTCCATTAAAGGAAAGTCAATTATATAGAGAACCAGCCGATTATACTGAGTTTTGAATTTTTTAAAAGGAGGCGGGGGAGAGGAGGGAGTCCATTAATCTGGAGCAGGGCTGTCCGCAAGTGAAAGAATTCCGTAATCCGTAAGTCCAAAAAACCACACAGTTTACACAGCCCTCAGTCCGCAATCCACAATGCAGCGGACAGCCCTGATCACGAGTCTATTATTAATGGAGTCGATTAAATAGAGAGTCCATTATATTGAGGGTTTTGATTTTTAATTTTGAGAGAGAGGGAGGGAGACAAGTTTATTTTAACCCTTAAAATTAGGGTTGTCGGCTCCAGGAAATTCTTAGGATATCCGAAACCGAACCGAAAAATCCTTGGTTCTTCGGTTCGTTCCCGTCCAGAACCGACAACTCTAATTAGGATTTAATTAAATAAAATTTACGGCATAATTTTTCTCAAAACAATTGGGTTTAGAACAGAGTAAAGCAGGCTGTCCATTATGATAAACTTCAACGCCTAAACAAATTTTAATTTAAAAATTAAATTAATTTCTAACCATAAGGTATTTTATTATTTCCACAAAAATGAGCCTCCAATAATTTTAAAATAAATAATAAAATAAATAAAAATATATTAAATTCCATTAATTTTATTTTATTAAAAAAAATTTTTTTCTGGCCATATAAAATTAATAAAAATATTTTATTTTTATTGATTTGGAATTCTTTCAAATATATTAAATGTCCTTCAAATTTGAACAAAAAAATTTTTAAAGAAAATATAAACAACCAAAAAAATTTTTTGTGACACACACATAAGGGTTTGTGTGATAAATGTACATAATATACAATTATTTGTTTAATAAAATGAAAATTAAGAAAATTAAGATAAAAATAAAATAAAAAGAAGACTTCGGTGTTTCATTATTAGTTGAAATTTAATAATTAAATATTAGGTATGTAGGTCAAAATAAAATAGTACCTATTAATTAATTATCATTAAAAAAGGGAAGAGAGAGGGATTTGAAGATCTAATAAAGATTCCAGATTTTCCGTAAAAAAATTTTTTGAATTTGGTTAACACACAAATATTTTTTAAGAAAATAAAATCTTAAAACTCGTCCCTATCTCTAAACTTAATTTTTATTTTCATGAATTACATAGGGTGGGACCTAATAAATAATTAGCCCTCGAACGAGTTAAACGGATTAAATAATTATTAAAATTCAACAAAATATTATTTTAATTTAAATTATATTATTTATGATCCTAAAAGAGTTGCCTACTTTCTGACAAAAAATCAGAATCATATGAACAGAGTATGGCATTGTCATGATATTTCAGTGTCTCTCATCTATTATTTTGTGTCATACAGTGTCTCGTAATTAATTAATATTTAATTAAATTTTTAATTTTTATTAATTTAAAAATATATATTAAGTAAAATGTAGGTGATGGGAAAGATGACATAATAAAATCTTTTTTTGTAAAATTTATTTGTTTACAAACACAAATCCCCCCAATTTTAATGTGGTTCTTCTCTACATATCGACTCTCCTTTATTTTCTCGCCTACACTTTATTTGAACAAAACAAAATAAATAATTTTGTGTGCTAGACACCTTTTAATTTAAAAAAATAATTTTAAAGAGAGACGTGTAAATAAAAGATTAACACATTTATAATTTTAAAATAAAATTGAATTTTAAAATTAAAAAAATTTTAGGACAAAAATTAATTTAAGAGAAATAATAAATTTATTTTAGAAAAAGACTAACAAAAATTCAAGTGCAAAAAAATTAATAAATATAATTAATTAATTAAATAATTAAATTTAAAATTAAATTTTATTTTTAAAAATATTTTAAAAAAAATAATGTTGATCAAAAAATTGATTCAAGAGAAATAATAAATTTATGTATTTAAAAAATAAAATAAATATTTAAAAAAAACTAACAGAAAATTCGATTGAAAAAATTTAAAAATTTAATTTTTATTTTTTTTTAAATTAAAATAATGAATATAAGGGTATAAAGATGTCCATCCTTTTTGATAATAATTTTTAAGAAAAATAATTTTTTAAAAAATAAATTTTTTAAAATTAAAAAAATAAAAAAGTGGCGCGAGAAGGTATTAAATTTCAAGTGTTAAAATAAAAATAAAATTTATTTTTTCTAGAAAAATGTGAGTGCACATGAATGGCCTTACTAAAATAAATATATCAGTAATTTTATTTATTTTCTCTTTCCCCCTTCAATTTTTTTTCATTCAATTAATTCCCTCGAGACCACCAGTAAACTACTAGTAACTACTTCTCCCCTTAAAACACTATTAAATAAAAAAATAAAGTGGGAGGAAATTGCCAACCAAACAGCAGACCATGGCGCTTATTTAATTGATTAAAAAAAGTTAGGCCAGAAAAAGGAAGAAGGAGAAAAAATAAAAAAATAATTTTTTAAATAAAAAAAATTTTCTTGAATTTTTTAATTAAACTACTTAAAAACAGCTGCCGTGAATTTTTTTGTCACTAAATAAAAATAATTAAAAAAAAGAAGGGTAGTAAAAATAAAAAGAATATTCTTTTCAAAAATGGAGCACGAACATTAAAAAAATAATTAAAAATGTGTTTTGATTTAAAATAAAAATTTAATTAATTATTTTTATTAATTTAATTATGATAATAAATTTATTCAAGGACTCTAATTGTAAAAAATTCCGGAAAGTTTATTTTTAAATAAAATTTCCGGAAAGAGTTTATTGAGCTTTCCGGAAGCTCCTATTTAAACAAGAAATAAAGTTTTACTTAGAGTTGTGTTTTCAATGTGTTTTCGATCCGGAAAGTTTAATTCAGATAAATAAAACTTTTTTAAGTTGTAAAAAGGGTAGTGATGTTATAATTTCCGGAAATTTTTAAAATACAAATAAATACAAACAAACCTTCCGGAAATACAAAATACAAATACAAACAAACTTTCCGGAAAGATTTATAAAAAAGCTTAAAAATACAAAATTTTTCTATATATTTTAAAAATTGATTTATTTAAAAATAATTTTCTTTCCTTATACAAGCGGATTTTCTGCCTGATGAGGAAAAAAATAAAAATGTAGAACGATGGAAACGCCTAAAAAATATTGTGGTTAAAAAGGGAAGGAAGAGACTTGCTTTTCTACCAGAGATTAAAATGAGCGAGCTTTTACGACACAAAAGGCGCACATAAAAATGACCAAAAAACTTTATTACTTTAAAGATTTATTTATTAGTAAATCTCCTAAAGTAAAAATTTTCTCGGTCAGTTAATACAAGAATAGATATTAATTAAAAGAAAATACAAAAAAACTTTACGGAAAGAATAGAAAATACAAAAAGTACAAATAAAAATTAAAAATACAAAAACACAAACTTGAAGGAAATGTTAATTAAATAGAAAGAAATAAAAATACAAATAAAAACTTTCCGGAAAGATTAAAAATACAAACTAGTAGAGAAAAATAATAAAATTTAAAACTTTTTTCCGGAAAGTTTTCAAAACACAAATAAATACAAACAAACTTTCCGGATAGGCTGAAAATACAAAAATACATAAAAACTTTCCGGAAGGTTAAAAATACAAAGAAATACAAACAAACTTTCCGGAAAAATTAAAAAATAAAAATACAACTAAAACTTTCCGGAAACGAATATATATTTTTATAAACTTGTTCAATAGAAACAAGATTACACTTCAAAAAGCAGTTCTTGCCCACTTACGTTCTGAACAATCATAATATTCATCAGCATTTTTAATACTAACATCATCACTCCTATTTGTAAGTACCGCCCAATTTCCACATTTCAGTATTTGTGTTGCAACATTTTTGCTACTATTTTCTTTTCGATTTCTCAATTCAATCTTTTTTTAAAATTTTGGATTTAGAATTTCAAAAAAAAGGGTATTGTGACTTATAGTGGGTTTTTTTTGGCTGGACCGATTTCAACAAATGAGGTGTCATTCGAAAGAGCTTCGAAAACTGAGTCGAACTAGATATGGGGGAAGTCGGTCCGACAATCAGGGGTCGAGTTACAGACCCCTGAAGTTTGAAAAAGAGAAGGGGGAGTAAGCTCATTTTGGCGTGAAAAATTCGAAAATGTAAATAATAGCTCATTCGACTCAGCTCGACGAGCTGAGTCGAATGACACCAATATCACCGAAATCCGACTTGATTGGACAAAGTTATGATCGTTTGTTTTAGCTCCTTACCAATGGTGTCCGTGGAGGTTTTTGCTGCTACGGAGGCCCCAAGTACGTCCAGAACAAGGGAGATAGGAATAGGTTTATGTTACGAGCCCAGACCCAGCGCCCGTAGACTCCCCGCGAGGCGCGTGCCGCAAAACCCCGCGCGAAGCGCGGGGTTTTGCACAAGCGCCTCGCCTACGCCCCATAGGTTTATGTTGACCATTTTGAACCTGTTTATCTCGGATCGAAATCAAGATATCGAGCTGATTTTGGTGTCATTCGACTCAGCTCGTCGAACTGAGTCGAATGAGCTATTATTTGCATTTTTGAATTTTTCACGCCAAAATGAGCTTACTCCCCCCTTCTCTTTTTCAAACTTCAGGGGTCTGTAACTCGGCCCCTGATTGTCGGACCGACTTCCCCCATATCTAGTTCGACTCAGTTTTCGAAGCTCTTTCGAATGACACCTCATTTGTTGAAATCGGTCCAGCCAAAAAAAACCCACTATAAGTCACAACATTCAAAAAAAATTCTTTTTACCTTCTTTTCTTCCTTATTTTCTTCATTTATCACAATTTTATCCTTCTTTTGTTTTTCCTCATTTTGTATTGAAATCGCAGCTAATGTAAGGGCCGAAATAACTGAACGTTGGCGATCCCAACTATCAGCAACACTATTATTACCCCCACCATCTCCACAACTATTTGTGTTTGAAAATGTTGAATTATTATTTTTGTTTAGATGTCCTTCTCTAACTTTATGACGCCACCAGCTTCTACCAACAGTTTTAGATAAACGGGGAGGAGCTGAATAAGTTTTTAAATTAGGTTTATTGTTGTGTTTTTCCGGAAAGTTTTATGTCTTTTCCGGAAAGTTTCTTTCCTTTCGGAAAGTTTTATGTGTTTTCCGGAAAGTTTCATTCCTTCAGGAAAGTTTTATGTATTTTCCGGAAAGTTTCTTTCCTTTCGGAAAGTTTTATGTGTTTTCCGGAAAGTTTCATTCCTTCAGGAAAGTTTTATGTATTTTCCGGAAAGTTTCTTTCCTTTCGGAAAGTTTTATGTGTTTTCCGGAAAGTTTCATTCCTTCAGGAAAGTTTTATGTATTTTCCGGAAAGTTTCTTTCCTTTCGGAAAGTTTTATGTGTTTTCCGGAAAGTTTCATTCCTTCAGGAAAGTTTTATGTCTTTTCCGGAAAGTTTCTTTCCTTTCGGAAAGTTTTATGTGTTTTCCGGAAAGTTTCATTCCTTCAGGAAAGTTTTATGTATTTTCCGGAAAGTTTCTTTCCTTTCGGAAAGTTTTATGTGTTTTCCGGAAAGTTTCATTCCTTCAGGAAAGTTTTATGTATTTTCCGGAAAGTTTCTTTCCTTTCGGAAAGTTTTATGTGTTTTCCGGAAAGTTTCATTCCTTCAGGAAAGTTTTATGTATTTTCCGGAAAGTTTCTTTCTTTCCGGAAAGTTTATTTATATGCTCTTTCAGGTTTATTTAAATGTATTTTGCCGGAAACTCTTTATTAATATATTTCCTTTCCGGAAAGTTTTAAACATTCCACCTTTCTTAGCATTTAACAAATCTGCCGGAATCATTAATAATTCATTTCTTTCAACAGCAACAGTAGAAGAAAGAGAAGTAGATACTCCAAATTTATAAGCTCTTTGTTGCTGTTGTTGTCTAGCTTGATTAAATCCTCTAGCAATTAACATTAAATTAATAGGCAAAGTAGGATTCCCCATAATAAGTGCTCGACGGGTTCTCCATTTTCTAAGAATTCTTTGAGATTTTGAATGAATAATTAATTCAAAAATAAAAGCAATAAAGGCAAGTCCAAATCCAAGAAGGGCGATTAGAAAAATTCCAAATGTTGCAAAAATGTCTGAAATTTAATTTTATTTGTTTGTGTTTTTTGTATTTTCCGGAAATGTTGTCAATTAATATTTAATTGTTTATTTGTATTTTCAGGAAAGTTTATTTATTAAATATATAATTCTTTCCGGAAATATTGTCTATTACTATATTACATACACCTGGATTTATTTGTACTTCCGGAAAATTCCGGAAAGTTTATTTGCTATATGTATTATAATTTATCTATTTTTGTATTTTCCGGAAATTTATTTATTTGTATTTTCCGGAAATGTTGTACCGGGAACTATTTTATTTGTTTTATTAAAAGGATTATGCAGTATTAAAAAGATTAAACCTAAGAAATATTCCTAAAAAATTTGTTAGAAAAAATTTTTTTCACCTAAAGAACGAGAAGCATCTCTAGCACTATTTGAACTAAATTGCTTCGAAAAACTCTCTCCATAATTATCATCCTCCCCTCCAGAAGACGACGAAGTAGAAGTAGCTAATCCCCCTCCATTAACTCCATCCGATTTTATACAATTTGGGATTTTTCCGGTATTAAAATCATTAAAGAAATACTTGAAATTTATTTAAATTTTTAATAAAATTAATTTACTTTATCATAAGTTCGCCTAATAAATGCCTGATTTTTTTGTATTGCCCGATTCCATTTATGAAGTAATTTTTGATTGTGACGAGAAAAAATGAAAAATGTTGGGATTTGATTGTGATCTTTATTTAAATTAATTTTTTTTTAATTTTTTCCAAAAAATTACTCTAACCATCTTCAAAATAAAATAAATCACAGCGTTCTTTACTCAACTGATAGGCTAAACTGTACTGTTTTGTTGGTAAAATAAAACTTCCTCTTTTAATTTTTTAAATTTTATTTTTTTTTATTTTTCTTTCCGGAAAACACAATTTTTACCTTTCAACAAAATCAAGTGCAACACTAACATTATCAACAACCCGAATAGGGTTAGTGTCTAAAGCACTTGCTAAATTTCGTAAATGACTCATTCTAGTAAAATTCAACATTTCAAAAAAACTGAAAAAATATTTTAATTAAATTTCGATTTAATTTAAATGCCTGTTATCTTTTTCCAAATGGTGTTTGTCCATAACTAAAGTGTATTCATTTGCTTTGACTAGTCTTATCTTTAATTGTAATATTTTAATTTAATTTTAAAGAAAAAAAAACATTCCGGAAGGAACAAATAAATTTTATTTGTTTCCGGAAAAACAAATAATAAAATAAACTATCCGGAAAACCAAATAAAATTAGAAACGAATAGAATTAAGGTTTCCGGAAAAACAAATAATTTCAGGAAACAATGGAAATAATTAGTTTCCGGAAATAAATAAAATAATAATTATAGTTTCCGGAAAAATATAATAAATTGAAGGAAACTTTCCGGAAGCATTTTCAGAAAATAACGGAAATAAATAGTTTCCGGAAATAAATAAATATTAAAAATTGAACTTTCCGGAAAAAGAAATAAAATAATAATTGTTTCCGGAAAAATATAATAATTAAAGGAAACTTTCCGGAAGCATTTTCAGAAAAGTTTCCGGAAACCAATAAATATTAATTAGTTTCCGGAAAAACAAATAATAAAATAAACTATCCGGAAAAACAAATAAAAACAAATAATTTCAGAGAACAATGAAAAGAATTTTAGTTTCCGGAAATAAATATAATAATAATTGTTTCCGGAAAAATATAATAATTAAAGGAAACTTTCCGGAAGCATTTTCAGGAAATAACGGAAATAATTACATAGTTTCCGAAACCAATAAATATTAAGGTTTCCGGAAAAACAAATAAAATAATAGTTTCCGGAAAATGTAATAATTAAAAGAAACTTTCCGGAAACTGTTTCAGAAAAGTTTCCGGAAAACAAATAAAATAACAATTGTTTCCGGTAAAACCTACCATCTCGTTATAATTTTCCCAAGGCCTTGGATTTTCTCCTCTAATTAACGAAGAAAGAAGTACAGCCGTATAAAGTTGTGTAAAAAGAGTTGCTTGGATTAGAGCGTAAAAGATGAATGCCAAATTTCCTTTTTATTTTATTATTTAAATTTTTAAATAATTATTTAAAATTACCGGATTGGAGAAAAAAAGGAGTTTGAAATTCTGTAGCTTGATGGATTTGTAATCTGAGGTATTGCCACATTTTCTTTTAAAAAATTTAAAAAAATACAAGTTATTTTAAGAAAAAGACGAAAGTAAAAAGGTTTACTCGTTCAAAATTAATATTTTCCGGAAACTTTAATTATACTATTTTATTTGTGTTTTCCGGAAAGTTTTTATTGTTATTTGTTTTTTCCGGAAATAAATTATTTTCATTGTTTTCAGAGCTATTTGTTTCCGGAAAGTTTAATTATACTATTTTATTCGTTTTTCCGGAAGCTTTATAATTTTAATTTATTTGTTCTTCCGGAAAGTATTTTCTATTTATTATTTGTTTTTCCGGAAAGTTCACTCTAGTCTCTCTATTTTTAACTACCTCAAGAGGATTATAAGTTGGACGGAGATTAAGTCTGTATTCCATATTCGCAACAAGCGAAGCAACTCCACATTGAAGCAATAAAAAGAAGAGGAGAAGAAACCATAACGAGCGCTCATAGGGAAAGAAGGCATTCCAAAGGGATACCGACAAACTCTTCCTTTTTGGTTTTGCAATGTAAATGTCCCTTACCTTTTTTTTTATTTTTTAATTAATTTAATTTTTACTTAAAAAATACCCCGGTTATTGGATGCGAAAAATTAAAAAATTTTGCTTTTTGTTCAGTATAAGGATATAATGTGCAAACAGTATCGGCCAATCCCGCCTCCAAAAGCCCTAAAATTCCTGTCCAATTCCCTCTTTCTTGAAGGCCATAATTTTGAGTAAAAGCCTTCTCGGCATCCTCGGTGGTTGGGTCAAATTGGTGGCCCCAATTGACAGAACCAATTTTTGATTCAATTATTATTTGTTCAATTTCCAAATGTAAACTGTCTGCCAACATTTTGACTACCTTGAAAAAAATTTTTTTCGGAATTCCGGATTTTTTGAAAAATTCAGAAAATTTTTTTAATTTCCGGAATTTTTTTCCGGAATTTTTTTTCCGGAATTTTTTTTCCGGAATTTTTTTCCGGAATTTTTTTCCAGAATTTTTTTTCTGGAAATTTTCTCCGGAATTTTTTTCCGGAATTTTTTTTCCGGAATTTTTTTCCGGAATTTTTTTTCTGGAAATTTTCTCCGGAATTTTTTTCCGGAATTTTTTTCCGGAATTTTTTTCCGGAATTTTTTTTCCGGAATTTTTTTTCTGGAAATTTTCTCCGGAAGTAGTTAACCCAACGTTTTGCGCACAAAGGGATGCCGCCATCCTTTTGGATGGGTGGTTAACCGCAATTAATTATGATTTATCTTCGCGCACTAGCTTAAACCTATTGACAGCTTTGGTGGGGGAGGGGTCCGCGCGAGCTATCCTAATCCTATTGAGTGAGTGGGTGGTAGGAGGGGGGAGGATTTTCAAATTAGTGGTTGGGGAGGGGTAGGAGGAAGGGGGTTTTTAAGGAGTAATTTGTTGACCCTTCCCATTTAACCGCAATCTTTTGACAGTATTGGTGTGTGGTGGGGAGGGGATTTTTTAAGTTGTTGACCCTTACCCTAACCGCAATCTTTTAACAGTTTTTTTGGAGGGGGACGATTTTACAAATTGAGAGAAGGGAAAAGAAATGCGATTGTTTGAATTAATTAGGGGTAGGGCGATTTTAAGGAATAATTAATAATTTCAGCTTTCCCCTTCCCTTCTTTTTTTCTTTAATTGATACAAATTTATTGATGACGGATATTCTTTACCAAAAAATTTTTTTTTGAAAAGATGCATGGACTCAAATGGAATGGATCTTAAACCCAAACGGCTCTCTTTAGAGCTTCAAATTTAATGAGTGGAACGAGACAATTACTATTTTGATTTTTGTATAAAATTTTTTATTTTTTTTTAATTATTTTAAGATCAAAGAGTTGATCTTTTGGGGGTATCTTTTCTGTGTACTTTAATTTGTACACAGATGTTTACCTAATCCTTTTTTCCATTTTTTGGCTAGTTGGCGCAAAAAATGTTCCCTAAGATAAATGTTTATAATAAAAGCCCTAGAGTTTGGTTACGTAATTTTTACAGTGTTGATCTGTGTTGATCTTTTGGACCAATATGTTTCTTTCAATAAATGTAAGCTTTCTTTTGTGCCAATTTATGTAAATTAGTCAAAAAATTGTTGTAAAATAGGTGTTTACGTGAAAATTTGTGTAAATAATAGAGAGAGTATAATGATTCATTTGATTTATTTTATAAAGTTTTCCTAAAATTTTTATTTAGTTAATTTTTTCTAAAATGAACTGGACATTTACTAACTGCTCTTGTACCTCGGGTCAGCACTGTATCCGACCCGAGGCGTACAGCAAACCTCGTTTGTGCATCCCCACAACTGTTCCGCCTACCGAGTTTGATAATTTCTTGGCCCGTCCAGAAAATTATATTAATTCTGGTTTTGGGGGCTACGAAAAATTTATTTTAAATACAATACTTTTGCTCATTATACTCTCTCTGGGTCTTAAAGTAATCCTAAATTTTCTAATAAATTATCTATTTTTGTAATTCAGTTGTTCTCTTTATGCTATCGCCGCAAAAAAGTAACTCACCAACAACATCAAAAACGACAAAAACAACAACAACAAATTATTCAAAATATTCCACTTGCTGAACTGGTACTTTTTAATTAAAAATAACATACTTTATTTATCTAAATTATCAATTTAAGGCCCATGTTCGTGAAGCTGGGTTACCTGGTCCATTAGTTATTGATGTGCGTTCTGAGGTAAAATAATTTTACAAATTAATAATAATTTATTAAATTTAAATAAGTAAATTTCTTAAATAATTTTATATTCTTTTGTAGAACCGCCCAGCTCCTAAATTTGTGGATCCACGAGCAGCACAGACGCTTAAAAAGATGGAAACTCTGGTAGCCATGGAATCCACCCGAGCATCTTTTTAAGGAATAAAGAAATTAATGAAGAAGAAATTAATGAAATTTAAAGAAATTAATAAAGAATAAAAATTTAAAAATATTTTAAACATTTAAATTTTTAAAAAGTAAATATTATTAAATGTCTTTGAATATTTTTATATAATTTTTAGATAGGGTGTAAGTATAGATTATTAAAATTTAAGTTAGGCTAGAAATTTATATTAGGTTTAAAAACTTTGAAATTTTTAATTTCCCTTTTTCCTCCTTAGCCTGACTCAAAAGATTGATTTTTGAACTTCTCTCCTTTCTCTTTTCTTTTCCTATTGTAGTGTAAAGAAAGATGTGAAGAGCAGAGATATCAATCTCTAGTCAGACATTGTTTTTCTTCTATTCTTTTAGATAATATATAGTAAAGATAAGTGTGTTCAGAAGAGATATTGAAATGTCTAGTTAGAGTCAATAGAGTCTATCTAGAGTATAGAGTCTAATATCAATTTTCATAAGAATTATAATCAATCAATATAAGTATAATTTATTACATTTAAAATCAAACTATTAAAGTATTTTTAATACCCTTGTGGCTCATTTGGTAGGGCTTGGTTGAGATGAAAGGTATTGAATGGTGATAATCGAGGTTAGAGATGCAAAGTATCAATTTGACTCTAATTCCTCTTTTATTATATTGAATTCGAAAAATTGACTTTAATAAGAAAAATTGAGTCTTAGATTTCATTATTCGGATTATTAGAAATTAATACATTTAAATAATTTTATTGTCATTAAACAATTTTATTCGTTTAAATTTAAATAGGTTCTTTAGTTAGCAATTAAGAATCAAAATTTATTTTTCCAATTTTAATTAATTTAATCGGCTTTTCTTTTTTGACCAATCTTTTTATATGGTGCAAGAATATCTGTAGCTTTACAGTTAGCGTCGACACACTTATTACATAGATCAATCTTTAATGTAATACCTGTAGAATTTTCTCCAAATTTCTCTTGTGAGTAAAATAAATTGTTTTGGCATTCTGAAAAACAAATTAATTTTTGAATATAATTTTAATTGTTCTTACCTTGACAAAGGTAGAAGGTAATTAAAAATTTTCCACGTATAAGTTTCCAAAGTTGTTTTTTAACAACTGGTCCACAAACAGTAGTTTCTTTAACAATTTTTGTATCATTAATACCCACAGAAGGATTAGTAATCGTTGCGTCTTAAAAAATTTTTTATTGAAAACATTTATTTTATTAAAATACCTAAGGAGTTTTGACCACATGATTCTTTATTCCTTTCTAATTTGACAGGTTTTTTAGCAGAAATTTCTTTGGTTTGTTCACAATCCACATCCTCTACAATAGGAACTTAAATGTTTTTAAAATAAAAATATTTTTCTCACCCAATGAACTGTTCTGTATCATATTTTAAATTTTAAAAAATTAAATAAAAATATATTGAAATATGAAAGTAATTTGTTGTAAATTAAGTAGAATGAGGTTAGAAAATAAAAATGATATATATCTAACCGCAAAAGAGGCGTGGCTTTTTATTATTGTAGAAAATATATTCAAAACCGGTTTCATTTCATTTCAAAGTCGGCTTGGCTTCATTTTTAAAAATAGATGAAGGAGATTGTAGGTCAGCGATTTGACACTATCGAAGCGAGACGAGGGTATATAAGCACAAAAAATTTGAACGAAGCTAATTAATTTCCGAAAAATTTAAATAAAATGGCTCTTAATATGAACGACAAGGAATATTTGGCTTCCCAAATTATCCCCGAGGTTGATTTCAATCTCACAGCTAATGGGGTTACCCTGACTAGTGAAAGAATATCAACTCCTAGATTCATCCCTTTTGAACATGGTGGCCGCTGTCGTGAGTGTAAAAGCACTGAAGTTGAATTAGATTTTATTGTTACAAAAGAGGGGATAACAATCTATTGTACTCGTTTATCGTCACCTCGCTTCGTTCCTTTTGATTGTATTTACGACCTGCCCGGGCATTGTTTCTTTAAGGTTATTAATCATAAAATGCTAAAAATGTATTTAACTTAAGATCAAGAATAAAGGCCGCGTTTTGAATATTCCATATGGTTCCCAAAATGTTTGCTCAGTTAAAAATTCAAATTGTCTAAAACGTGAAGCAATTGACCAATTACCTCTCCCACCAGCACCACCCCAACCTCTTCCTCTTCCAAACCAGGAATTATTAACACCCCCGCCTATGTCTCCTCCTCTCGCACCACATCAGGAATTATTAACACCGCCTCCTGCATCTCCGCAACCAGAAATGCCATCACAAGAGAACCCTACAGAATTATCTCCTATCAAAGAAGAACCTTCAATTAAAGAAAATGATGATACAGTCCTATTAGAGTTTTATGACTCTATGCAGGCTGTTACAATGGGTATGATGTCAACAGAAAGTGAGGTTAAGAAACAAGTAGTAAACAATCCAGATGATACAAATCTACAGCCACCCCTTTAATTTTACTGATAGTATTTAAGTTAATAAATTTTAGTTAATTATTATTTTAAATGGAAGCACTAACATTTTCTAATAAAGATTTAAATTTTAAATTGCCTTTTGGTATGATCGTATCAGGTCCCAGTTCAAGTGGTAAAAGTACTTTCCTATTAAAATTTATTTCGGAAGCGTCAGACTTGATTGATCCCAAACCAAGGAGTATATTGTATTGTTTTGGAGAAATGAGTAGTATTGTTCCAATACTTCAAAAATCTGGAGTTGATGTGTTTGTCGGTGTCCCTCCTGAAGAATTATTAAAAAAATTTCCCAAGCCACTTCTTTTAATTCTTGATGACTTACTTCTGTCTATTGATGAAAAGTACTTATCTGAACTCTTTACAAAAAAATCCCACCACCAGAATTTTGCAATTATTTTTGTAACTCAAAACTTATTCGATCGTAAAATCAAGGTTGCGAGACAAAATGCTCAATACATTGTCCTAATGCGTTCTCCAAATTCTGCTCTAGCAG